GTTGGAGGTGTCTCGGTAGAAGTAGAGCAGCCAGAAGTCGGTTTCGTTTTCGGTGTACATAGACTCTGCTGAAAAGATATATCTATTTTCTCATCTACATTCACAGGTCCACGCTACAAGGGGATATCGTTGGCAAGCCATAACCAACATTCAGCTACCCTCTCAGCGTAGTAGAAGCAGAGTCCACCTACATATCAAAGTAAGTCTAACTTAAATTTCACACACAAATCATCGTGCGCTTCCAATCCTAACCCTACCTCCCCACAATCAACCAACCAACCACTGCAACAAAGACTAAGAGACAAAAATGTCCGAAGAAGCCTACGAAATCGCAAACGTGCACGACGTGTACGACAAAATCGCCCCTCATTTTTCAAAGACGAGGTATAAGGTACCATTCTCTTTCCGGGCGAACAGCCTACGTACTCGATAAAGGTAATTTTGAACTAATGGAAGTTTTGAAGCCATGGCCCCGAATAGTCTCGTTCATCGAAACCCTCCCCCCTGGCTCCGTGGGGATTGAGCTTGGATGTGGAAATGGGAAAAATCTCTCCATTGGGGAGGTTTTTACACTGGGGAGTGATCGGTCTGAGAAACTTGTTAAAATTGCTGCTGAGCAATCGAAGAAGTGTAATAAATCCTCGCCGCAGAGCGAAAACGATAAATCCCCACCGCAGAACAAGCACGGCAAATCACCACAGAACAAAAACGATCAACCCTCACCGCAAAGCAAAGATAACGAACCCCCACCACCAAACGAAAATAACAACTCCTCATCACGAAACGAGAATGATAACCCCCCACCCCAACCCAAACATCCCAAGCCCGCTGCGCAGCAAAATTCCCAACAGAACAAAATTCCTAGCACCGATAACAAGAACGATAAACCCGACGCGCAGCAACCCTCCCAATCCAAAAACCCCACACCCACCGCGAAGCATCCCTCCTCCAACAGCATCTCCGACGCCATAGTCGCAGACCTCCTCTCCCCCCCCCACCCCCCTTCCCGCCTCGACTTTTTTTTAATCATCGCAGCCCTCCACCATTTATCAACCCGCCCCCGCCGCGTTTCCGCCCTGCGCGAAGCAATCCTCCTCCTAACACCCACGGGCAAGGGACTAGTAAGCGTTTGGGCGTTTGAGCAGACTGGTGAGAAACGAAAGTGGACGGGACGGGATGAGTTGGTGCCGTGGACTTTACCCGATGGGAGGGTGATGGGGAGGTATTATCATCTTTATGGGGAGGGGGAACTGGAGGAGGAAGCTGCCCTGGCGGGCGGGAGGGTAGAGGATCAGGGATGGGAGAGGGGCAATTGGTGGGTTGTTTTGAGCAGGAGGTAGGATCGGGGGAGAGGGTTCGTTGCATCGATTGATGGAGGTTTCTGTGATGTTTACAGAATTCATCGCGGTGCTTGTGGAACGTATCCGTCACGAACACGGAATTTCTTCAACTCTCGTCAACGGGTCGTCTGCAGAGGAACGATCTGCGAATTTCTGCGAATTTCTGCGACGTTTTGTCTTGGTGTTGTTACTCTGACTTCCAGTCAAATGTCATGGCTGCGAGCTACATGCTACGTGGGAACTGACAAGGATTTCAAAGAGACGATTGATTGGAAGAAAATATTCACTTGATTTTAAAAGTTATCTGTTCGTTTAGAGAAGAGTTGCAGCGTTTAGGTTACGCGATACCCATCCATTTCAACTCGCCATAGTCATCTAATTCAGCATCCATAAAAGTCTTTGGCTTGCTGTGGTTTGGCTTATGCTCACGCCAGTTGTTATCCATCTCCCAGCGGACCGCCGACGAGCGTCTTCGGGTCGGAGAGAGCTCCTGTCCCGTACGCCGAAACTGGCCCAGAGCCGCCCACTTATCAAGCAATGCCGCTCCTCGCATCCTGGGTGGTTCCCTGCGCTCCGATTCCACCAGACGTCTCAGCGGGCTTGCCGTTGCCTCCCTGCCATAGCGGTCCGGTCGGGGCGTAATGCTGCCATGTCCATCCTCCGACGTAGGCCTCGGCGTTATCGGGTGGTCTTCTTCGTACAGGTCGCTCCAGCTCTTTGAGAGGCCGCCGGTCCAAGACAAAGGCATGGGGCGGTTGATTGAAATTGGCAAAGAATTGGAAACGGACTCGGAATCATAAGACAAGCCCAGGCCATAGTTGGAAGCTGCCGTGGTGCCAGACGAAATGCTGAGGCCAGGGTTTGTTGACTTGTACGACGCGCCAAAACCAGAATCCCTATTAGAGGCTACCTCCCACGACGAGGGGAAAGCTCCAGCCTGCTCCCAGTGGAAGTCCTGACCGACAGATGGACTGACAATGGAAGGGGTGCGCAGAGGCTCGCGTGCGACTGTTGCCATGACACCGTCAGTCTGCTCGGCCGTGCAAAAGTCATCCAACGTCTCGTCATCGGTCGTGAAGCTGATAACGGCCTTTAGTGCATCACGTAAGGCAGACAGAGAGCGCTGAGACGGATCCAGAGAAAGGGAGTGAACCAGCACATTGTAAGTGTCTTGGGACATGGTTGGAAACACGTCAAACAGGCTCTGGCGGTCTCGTGCATAATCGGCAAAGAGCGGGTCGTCATGGTTTGGACGAGCAAATGGATTACGCTGGAACAAGATATTCAGCAGCACGATGCCAATCGCCCAGATATCGGCAGCTGCGGTGGAGTAGCCGTAAGAGCCGGGAAGCGGGGCAAACTGCTCAGGGGCCATGTAGCGGTCCGAGCCAACGGCGTATTCAGTCGACCAGGAGTCGGTTGTGGCCAGGCCAAAGTCTCCCAGCTTCATGTCCCCGCGGGAAGTCAAGAATATGTTCTCGGGCTTAATGTCTCGGTGGAAGACGCCGTTCGCGTGCAGGTATTCCACAGCATCAACGAGCTGCAGCATGAAATCCCTCACGTGTTCGGTCTCAAGCGGCCCTCGGCCAATGCGGATCGCTTCATACAGGTCCCCGTTACCGCACAGCTCCAAGGCCATGTATTGATGGTGTTCCGTCTCGAAGTGATGGATAAGATTCACAATGTGTCGATGGGGCCGAAGCCGAGAGTGAATCTTCAACTCCTCGGAGCGGTCGTCCACGGCCAAGACGGGACACTGGTCCAACGGCGCTCCGCTGGACTTGGGCATGCACTTGATGGCGACATCCTGTTCGGTTGTCAGGTCCGTGGCGGTGAAGACCATGCCAAAGGAGCCGTGATTCAGCGGCGCAACCGTCAAGAAGCGGCCTCCCAACAGTCTTCCAGGAAGGAAACCATCTCGCATGCAATTCATGGCGCTCCACGCCCCCCGAAGCCGCCAAGGGACGCTTGAAACTCCGAATGCTCCGCCCAAAAAAAACTCCAGCCCGCCGGGGGAAGTTGCTTCAAAAAACACAAAGAAAGACAATGACTGTGGTTCTCATGAGGAGACAAAGGAAAATCGTTAATTTGGAAGTCGTGATCGGGACTCGTGATACATTAAGGCTTTGGCGCGCGGGAAGTGCGTGGGGCGCCGAATCCACGCACTTCGGCGAACAGAAGAGGCAAAAGAAGGGAGGATTGAGGTGCGATGTCTGGGTGCTGGGTGCTGGAGGGACTGGTAGCAGAAGAAGAGATGGATGAGTAGATGAAGCGGTGAAGTATGACGATGGACGGATGGACAGACGTGGAAGCTGGCGGAAAGGCGTGCGTGCAGGCTTCGCTGATTGGCTGACACCCGCCGAGGCGCGGGGCCCAGACACTTTGTCCTCTTTAAGCGCACGGGACCCCCGTTGCCGGGCCAGATGGCGATCTTTATTAGTTATACTTAGCACTCCTTGTCTCTCACCATTGCTTAGCGCAACGGATGACGGATGACGTGTTGAGTGGCGTTTGTCTACCTGTCTTTATGCTTTCACGCTCCGTCAATGTTGGACCGAGATAGGGAATCCTGATTGCTGCGCCTGTAAACAATAAATATAAACACAACAAAACACTGTACAGCCAGCCAACCAAAGGGTAGCGTCGATGCTAAGCGCCGATGCATGCAGCGGTTCTCGCCGCACATGTCTCAGATCCCCTGCATCAAAACACGTGGAATGACCCACACGTGATGTCTACGTGGCCTCCCAACGCCGGGAGAGGCAGAGTCATGCTGCTGAGATAAAAGTGCACATCTGTAGATGCGTTCGTCTCGCGCGTTGTGAGCCTATTTCGTCATGTTCCTCTGTATTGTAGATATTTTAGTCCAGGCCTGTCCTCCGTCATCCAAAGCCGCGGCTCTCCGTTGGATTCTCGCAGCAGTATGCAACATCAGGAGACCGGCGCTTCACACAGAGTACTCACTATAGGTGTTGCAACACGCAGGGCGCGTGCATGATCGTTGCGCATGCGCTCTTGGGTGGGGCAGAGTCGGCAACTGGTGGCGAGACTTGGACGACAACACATCCAACTACTTTCATTGGTTCCATGAATCTAGAACAGTGTCGGGCTCCAACAGCACAGCGGTGTAGCTCTAAACACGCACTGAATGGCGGACTAGTCCCCCAACAGCGGCATCTTGGTGAAGCGTCGTGGCAAGCAGCGTGCCTCGACTCGCCGAGTATCCTTGCACTTTCCCAGTGAACTTGTTCGTGGCACGACGATTGCCAGTGCTTTGGGCCCATTCTTTTACTTGTCTCCAAGCTCAGTGGGCCTGCGCAACGGCTTCCTTAATAAAGCCATTGCCCATGAAACTGCGTGAAGCCACAGCAAGGGCTTTTAAGAACAGTTTTAGGTGGTCTGACCTTGCCAACTGGAATGTGTCACTCTGTCGCGTGGTCACGGAATGGCCAACAACATATCTTGGAGGATGTCTTGTTTACGAAATTCATGCCAATGTTAGACGATGCACGCGGTGTTGTATTAAAGTTGCCCTCAAACTCGACAGACGACACGAGAAGCGTGGTCTTACCAATGACAGACGACCATCGTGGAGTCGCTGCCTTTGATATGCAAAACTTGACGTATATTTTCCGAGCTTCTCCCGATACATCACATGAAGGCCGTATGGCCCAATGGCAAGGCGCTTGACTACGATGATTATTGTGATCAAGAGATCGCAGGTTCGACCCCTGCTACGGTCAGTTTATTTTTTTCCCCGCATATCTTGCTAGTTACCACTTTCGATGCACCACTGGGCCATGAAATCGATGCAAATGCTCCGGTCTTTTCTTCTTGAGGGAATGCATTTCGCGAAGTTCAGTGCGTTCCTCTTATGTGGAATTGCTCCGCTTCTATGTTCACCCTGCCACAGTCGTGCTAGAGGAGACATCTGATGGGGGACGACTACTAAATCGGCACTAAATTTCCACCGTAGTGTGGGGTATTCACAATCATCACCGGTGTCATCGATAGTTTTTATGCTATACGATAAACCTCTTAGATACGGGTATAACAAGAGGTGATGCAACAACTCAAGAGGCTGAAGTCGCAGGACCAAGTCATGGTTCGAATATCAAACTTGAAACTAATGCAAAAGTCAAAGAGCAACCGGAAGCCAAGCTGAGCTACCTGCACATGAGAGAAAGAATAACGCATCAAATATTACGCACCACTGGCAGGCCGTCACTCTGACCTTACATCTTGGATGGCTAGGGGTCTGGCTCGATTCTGGATGGTCATTGTATCCGCACGGCATATCTTGGGCGTTCAAAGTTGCCAAGACCGGTAGCATCTTTTCTTCGTCGCCTAACACCTAAAAAGGACTACCAATGAGAATGGCAAGTCTGGCCGGTATTTGCTGTGTCGTACTGGTACCACTCTATGAAATAAAAGCGGTCTGATCGCGGTTTAATTAGCATAATTGTGCAGAGAAGGTTACGACCGGATAAGAGACTTGTCGGAGGGGTTAACCTCCGAGGACTAGAGCGGAGTGGATGTCAATGACAAAAGTTTTCACTCAACTTTTACTGAAAAATATGTAATGTAGATGTCTATCTCTATGAGGTGAGATCCGAAACCTCTCCCACACTACCTCAGTCTGACCGCATCTGCCAGGACAACGTCAGCGAACCATGCCCTTAAGCATGAACGAGACAATGACCGTCTCAGGGAAAACTTCCTCTATAGAGGTAAAAACCCTGAGAAGTTTCCAGTCCTATCTACAGTTCTAGTCATGGTAGGTGCCACATCCTTCTGACAGGTAGTAAAAACAACATCGTCTTTCGTGTCATTTCCAATTTTGACATTGACTACATTTACCCCACTCAAGAGAAGATCCGGAATCCCGATACTAACACATGTGCTATTATTTCTATCTACGTATCACTCGATTCTAAGATACAGTACTCACTCGAGTGGTTTATCGCTAGCGTGCCTCTTTAAGTTTAGTGCCGCATCTCAGCCAATCTGACGGGGTCTCCTTCGGACCACGCTATATACCTATACTAGGTTAATGGGAAAATGACAGCTCTGTCTGATTGGTCGGAGTATGGAAATAAACACATTTAGGCACGCTAGCGATTAAACCCTCGAGCGAGTACGGTATCTGCTTTGATATGTGGCACCGTGAATGATGAGTGGCGTTTTTCTCCCTTCAGATACGTTTATGGGAGCTTTGGTCACCTTGTGGAAAGAAGAGGGATAGAGAGGGAAAGTTGGAAAAACTTGCTTCTAGAGTCCACGGAACACGGGTTCTCTCTCAATCCGTTGAAGACATGCTCCACTCGGCTGAAGAGTTTCACGGAGCCATGCCGTAGTGCTCAACCCTCAAGCCGACCTCTGTGCGGTCGTATGTGTGGTGGTTTCGTCAAGTAAACGAACACTGCTCATGATGTACCTGTCCAACGGCACCGTCCCTTTGGGGCAGCATTGCTTGTTCCATGAAGCAGTGCGTGTACTGGGCAGCAGCTTTGTCGGAAATGGCGTCCTTTGTGATATTTAGCGGTTTATAAGCCAGGAGGCGCTCCCGGGTAGATGTCATCTCTTTGTCCTTTCTGGCCTCTGAGGTCATCTCTGTGCCCGTTTTTCCTCAGGTGCACTGATATGTCCACGGTCTGATATCAGCACATTTTCCCAATGTCCTAGAGTACCCGAGTTTGAAAAAACCTAGGTCAAAGACCTTGTGTATAGCATTGCAAGACGCACTAATTCGTGGGCCCTTCTGTCTTTCGTGCACAACGATTCTCCAATTAAAGTTGAAGGGCTAGTCATGCGAACGCCACGTGATTTTCTGTACGGTCGAACCTGGTTTTAGCGGACTCTGGATATAGCAAATGCCTCCTTAAAGCGAATTTTCAGGACCTCCAATTTTCTACCGCTACCCTGTAGGTACCTGAATGCAGCGGATCCTCGAAATAGCGGAGAGAATTCTCGCGCCAATCAGTCCACTATAACCAGGTTTGACTGTCTTCTCGTCTGTAGAGCTTTGATTCCACATTCCCTTTGGAGACACATGTTCCAGCTTCGCCGATCAATGTTCTGCAAACTGCCTGGCGATCAGGGGTTGAATTCCTGTTACGGGCTAGCCCTTTCGTCCCATGGAACAACCATGGGTGTGGTTCACCAGGAGCGCGCGTACTGCGTACGCACAAGCTAAACGGACGAGGCGCTTCTGTGCAGGAGCACATGAGCACATAGCAGGCCCTCTGGCCCTTGATAGCTTCCATACGAGACAATGTCTTGCTCGACCTTGGGTCCGTGCACACTCCCAGTGCTTCTCTTGACCATTTCAGCGAAAAACATCGTCATAAATTCCTCAAAATCCTTGCGCAGATGCTGATCATGGAAATCGCACATCAAATCCCGGCGCACCCACCTTTCCACAAGACAAACCCACCCACCCCCCACAGCATAAACACGCAAACTTCAGTGGATCAGCGAATGCCCTGCTACCATGACACAATCCGAGTTTACCTCGCAAACTTACCTTTTCCAGTCCCATATCTCTACCCAACCTGCCCCGTCCACGCTCCACCACAGTCCTGAAACTACGTTCCCTCCCTCTTATAGTCATCGCTCGCTTACCATCCGCCGATCCAGCACACGTCTAGGCAAGTCTTACAATGAGCGTCGAGACTGTCACATTGCAACGCGGCAATGAACTGGTTTTTTCCTCTCACTGAGAAAAATTTCAACAAGGCCCTTCCCTACATGTTCTGACTGCGATGAACATAGCGAGCATTGCATTGCAGTTCTCGCGGAGAACATCGTAGCAAGTTCAGGGAAGAAACTTAAAGTTTAGCAACGCGTACTTACTTCATCGATCAGTGAATGGATTGGGATCGTTAGAAACATCAATAAATTCAATTTCATTCAGAAGGAATCTTTGCCCGTGAAATACAGCACAGTAAAACCAGTCTCTTCGTTGGGAAAAACCATTGTTCGCCCGCACGAGAATCATATCAATGGTTCCAGCTGCTCAGGAAGCTTGGATATCTGCCGACCATTGACAGTGGTCCACTGTCCTGTACGGTCCAAGGCCAAGATTTGTCGGCCGTGGAACATCGAAGTCGACATTACCGAGGTAGAAGAGTCCGCCTGCGTTTGGGGCTGGGAAGCTTCGTTAGCTACTAACCTGTCCACGACAGACAGGAACGTTGACGACACAAAGCGACCATCGATAAGTATCAAACTACCATCACGGCCGGGATCGAGTGTGCGCACAATGCACGCCTTTTCAATGTCCCATTCGCATATGTGAACTGAACTACACTCATTTAGGCACGCCAGCGATAAAGAATTAGTGCGGTTGTTCTGATAAGCAGCGGCACCTCACAGGTCTGTCAGTATACACGCGTATCTAGAGCTACAAGAATATTTCTGAGTACTCGAGCCCTGTGCAGGGATGTGGGTCATCACCTGCGGCTCGCTCCGTGGCGAACTGCACAACAGCGGTAATATCACCGTCCGCATAATGTCATATCTTGAACATTTAACGAATCATATCTCGAACATATCAAATACCATACCTCGATGATAATGTCGGTCAGGTTTTCATGGAGCTACTTATCATCAAATCTCGGGTCTTCATTATATCGTTTGCAGCTCCAAGAATCTGCTGCAGTGACCATTGCTTCGTTTGTGTCTATGTTCGAACTGCTCCCCTCCAACAGCCCGCTCCCTAAGTGGTTCGTTTTGTGCGACCACCCAAAAACTACCACATACGTCTGTAGGATACTTTTTCTTGATATATAAGATCACATAGCTCATTGTGATGGCTAAAACTACATCTATTCATAAGTCAACGAACCGTACGTATCGTGCGTATTGTAGAATATGGAATAGGACTCAAGCTAATCGTTGTCGACTTTCCATCGCTGTGAGACTTAGGACAGTTCTCCAAACCGATTATAAGGTACATGCCCTCATGGCACTTGCCTCTGCCGACCCCCCTTGACTGCACGTGGTCGTTCTGCGTTGATGTTCTACTGGGCTGCATTCGAGGATCAAGGAACTCAGGTCCGTACAGCTTGAGACCGTTGAAGGGGTAACGCAAGACAGTGACCCTCCCTCGTCCTCAGAGTCTCCTGCTGGGCAAGTTTCCTTCTCAAACTCCCCTTCTTCAAACTCACTTCCTCGAGTGCCCCCCTCTTCAGAGTCAGTTGCCGAAATTGCTACCCCTTGCGACTTTTCAAGGTTCGAGGTAACTGGCTTCTGCGCAATTTCTTCTCCTCACCATGCCACCCACAGTTGTGTTTTAGCCTTCAGTAAACATATGAAGTTTATGAGCCTTCTGTGACGGTCAAGATTCCTTCACGGCTCTGGATTCTGCCTCGCTGGTACCGCTGGTCGTGTTTGCTTTGTTCCTCTCCTCTACGAGGACGAGACATCTCTTCCGGTGATGCGTCATCTTGCCGCAGGACTCATAGCAAAACACCATCGCATACCTAGGGGATCACTGCAATCGCGAGCATTCCCAGATATGATGGCGAAGTATACGAAAATGAATGTGCCCGTGAGCACACATTTCATTTCCTCTTGCTCGAATTCTTCGGCGGACGATATGCCATTATCAGCTCCGTTGATTTCTCGACGGCTCATATTTATCTTCCTATGAAACATCCCAATCTTCCATGGGCGCCCATTGCTTTACACAAGATTAACTTCGCAGGGAACGCAGAATTGAATGACATGAATAGGTGTG